AGCGCTAGCTGCACCACCGGCGAGCAGCACCTCGAGATGACCATGAATCTAAGCAAGTGAGCAGCACAAAACTCCTTGCGCAGCTCGACATCGTCTTCGGGCGGAATTGGCACGGTGCCGTCGGCAAAGCCCTTCAGCCCGGCGACCTCCAGCTATGGTTCTATCGACTCCCTCCAGAGGATGAGGTCCCGTTGACCTTGCAGCAGGGTGACAGTGATCCGGTCTGGCGAAAACTTGAAGTAGCCATATGCTGGCGCAATCTCACCCGCCGTCACGTGCGTCGTCGTCGATAGCCCTCCACCGCTTCGTAGAGGAGAGTGACGTCGACCATCGACTTTGACCCGCGAGCTGCCTGCGGCTGCCGTCGACCACTGCACTCGCGCCTGGCTCCCGTCAACGCAATTCTCAACCTTAATCACCCTCTCTTCATTATGCCATCGCTGCCTCTGACTCGTGCACCGTTGTCGACCTCGTCGCCGACGCCACCTTCGTTTCACACTGGTCAAGGAGAAGCAGGACCTGAAGGGTGCTCCGTCGCCCACTGCGCCCGGATGCCCAACTCGACGATCGTCAAGGGGATCGTCCCGTACTCGCCATCCACGTGGCGTCTCCTCGCATCAGCCAATCATGCATCCAAGGTGTCCACGATGCTCGCTTCTACAACACGGTCGACCATGGCGACTACGATGGCTGCCGGCCTACGAACGACTTAGTAGGTGCAAAAGGTTGTTCCTATCTGAAGGTCGCATGTTCGTTCCACGCTCACTGCACCATGCGAAGAATCACTCTACAACGGTTGGGAGCTAGACTACGGGAGCTGGCACAAGCTCTAGGAGTGATCGTAGCTTTGCTTGCGTTCCTTAGCACTTGCACATTTACGGGAGAAGGTGACAAGAGTTTCACTAGCAAAGTTGATAGTACAAAATGAATCAACATGCAATCACAAAAATGACTACATTAGGCACCTAGCAACTCTGCAGCTGGCCTTGTTGATTGCCAGCATAGCATGGTCGACCACCTGCCAGTATTCAGTAGAGGAGCTGCGCCTGCACTGCAGAAACGCGGCCTGCCAACATAGCAGGTCGACGGTGTGCCAACCTTGCAGCAGTGCGGCTGTCCAGCGTTGCACCCGTAAAAGACAGCAATGTGCAAGTATGCAGGTGCGCGCAGACAATTGGCCCGACTTACACCGTTGTACATCTGTCGGCTGTTGTCTGCGCCTGACGAGCCACATCGACTTCGGGATACCAGCCCGAAGTCGCCTTCGCCATCGCGACCTTGACGACGTTCGCGTGCCTCCGCAGAACTCGCCGAGCAGGTTTCCTGGTCGACCTGGTCAACCACCCAGTGAGCACCCTGGTCGACGAACCTCTCGTCGACCACCGCGCCTGTCGAACTACCCCTCTTGGTCGACGGCCCCGTCTGTTGACCAGCCTAGTCAACTGCAGTCTTTGAGCTCACCTTTTACGCACCCGGAATCAAAAGGATACGAACTATGCTCTCCGCATCGGCGGTAAAAAAAAATAACTCTCAGTGGATCAGGCGCACCACCCACTCATGCGGGCCATTTTTTCAGTTGCGACCTCCATTGCGTCTACGGACTCGAAGGGAGTCCGAAACTTCAACTACTTTAAAAATGTCAGAATAACTAAGCGAGAATGAATGAACTAGGCAGGAATGTGGTACAAATATGGCAAACCCTAATTGGGTTGTACCCCTTATAGGCTATCCCACTACAATATACACAACATATTTTGACGCACTCCCATAGGCAAAGTGGGGGAGAACAAGTGGTCACAAGACCAGTCAAGAAAAGCAAAGAAAGCTCAGGGTGGATCACGAAGTCACCACACATTCTGAGCACAAGAAAATGGCCACAAGGCCAGTTGACATGCAGAGTTATACAACAAAGAACAAACAGTACAAAAATCACAACCTAGCAAGTGTAAGCATGCAGGTACAAAAATATATAGATCACATTACAAGCAAAGTCACGCAGTGAGTAAGTGAGACAAAGCAGGCAGAAGGCCTAGAGCCGTAAAAAAACGCTGGTGATCATTAGGCGGAAGTGCCTTGGTGAATATATCAGCAGTGTTGGCCCGGGTGGCCACGTGAGCAAGACGAAGCTGACCACGCTGCTGCAACTCTCGAGCAAGGAAGTAACGCAGAGCGATGTGCTTCAAACTGTGCTCCAGTCTGTGCTCCTGACACAAGGCAATAGCAGCCTTGTTGTCTACGTACAGAACTGGAGGAGAACGAGGCCGCTCTCCCAAGTCGGTCAGCACGTAGGTGAGCCAGCGTAACTCCTGTGCAACCATGGCTCCTGCGTAGATCTCAGCCTCACAACTGGAGCTGAGAACAGAAGACGAGCGGGTAGACCGCCAAGAAACTGAGCCAAAGCCAAGGCTGAAGGTGTAACCCTGTGACGACCGCTGTGTAGCCAGGTCGTCAACCCAAGACGCGTCTGAGTGTCCAGTGAGGACAACTGAACTCCGTCCTCCAAGCACGAGCCCCATGCCCGATGTACTGCACAAGTAGCGTAATGACCTCTTAGCGGCCTCCCAGGTAACTCAGTCGTGTGCCTCCTGCAGTGCCAGTTCCCTCAGTAGTAAGTACACTACTACCCAGATGTGGTTGGTGCCTATTCCCAGACATGAAGAATGGGTCGGTGCGGTATCCGTGGGTGAATAGGCCTGAAGTGAAAGTTGGGTTAAAAGTTGGTTGGTTTGGGCGAGTAGGATGGCGTGAAGTTGGGCAGTGGGGCGGGTGAGTGCGTCAGCAATGTTCGACGCTCCCTTTTTGTACGTGACGGTGTAGTGGAAGTTGGACTCCAGATAGTCCAACCAGCGGATCTGTCGCGGATTGAGATTCGGTTGGGTGCGAAGGTACTATAGTGATCGATAGTGTGTCCGTATTGTCACGTCTGCTCCGGTGAGGTAGCATCGCCACACTTTGAACGCGTGCACGATCGCCAGCATCTCGCGGTCGTGTATCGGGTAGTTGCGTTCGGGCGTGTGAAGCTTGCGAGAGTGGAATGCGATTGGCTGAAGGCCGTTCCCGAAGTCTTGCAACAGTACTGCTGCCATGAAGATGTCGCTTGCGTCGATGACCAGTTCGAACGGGTGGTGTGGGTCAGCGATGTGCAGTACGGACGACGAGCACAAAATTTTCTTGAGGGCCGAGAAGGCAGCTTTCTCTTTCTCCCCTCTCGTATACTCAACCCCCTTCCTCAACAAGTCGGTGAATGGGGCAGTCAACTGCGCCATGTCGGGGACGAATTGCCACACATAGTTGACGAACCCTAGAAAACACTGCAACTCGGTCAAGTTGGTCGGCGCGTGCCATGCTTGAATCGTTGCGATCTTGTTCGGGTCTATTTCCACTAATTACAGTCTGTCCTGTAGGAACTCACACTTAGAGGCTTTGGTCAGTAGGCAGTTCGCACGTGTCTTGTACCCCCTCCCCTCACCTAATCGACATACCTTCCTAGTTTTCTCAACATGGTATTAAGAGCTAGGACCTTTCTAGCCTAGGACGAACTTTTTTTTCAAAAGGGCCCACCGTTAAAGCCTTCCGTGTTCCTGCCTGAATCGCGTTCTCTTATTTTTTCTGCCCGAAATGCGCCCTTAGGTGCGTCGATTTTCGCTGCCCCGCGGCCCTGCCTTGTCCTGTCGCGCGTAGCCCACGAGCAGCCCGTATAGCCCACGTCAGGCCCGCGCGCGGCCCGTATAGTCCGCCATAGGCCTTCGTGCCGCCCGTACAGCCCGCGCCAGGCCCGCGCGCGGCCCGTATAGCCTATGTCAGGCCCGCGCGCGGCCCGTACAGTCCGCGCTAGGCGTTCGCGCAGCCCGTACAGCCCACGTCAGGCCCGCACGCGGCCAGTACAGCCCACGCCAGGCCTGCACGCTGCACTGCGCCTGTGCTGCTGCTCTACCGCCGCTGCTATTTGCTGCAGCAGCTCCTACTTCCTGCAGCTGCTCCTACTTGCTGCCGCTGCTGCTACTTGCTGCAGCTGCTCCTACTTGCTGCCGCTGCTGCTACTTGCTGCAGCTGCTTCTACTTACTGGCGCTGCTGCTACTTGCTGCAGCTGCTCCTACTTGCTACCGCTGCTGCTATTTGCTGCAGCAGCTCCTACTTACTGCAGCTGCTCCTACTTGCTGCCGCTGCTGCTACTTGCTGCAGCTGCTCCTACTTGCTGCCGCTGCTGCTACTTGCTGCAGCTGCTCCTACTTGCTGCCACTGCTGCTACTTGCTGCAGCTGCTCCTACTTGCTGCCGCTGCTGCTACTTGCTGCAGCTGCTCCTACTTGCTGCCGCTGCTGCTACTTGCTGCAGCTGCTCCTACTTGCTGCCGCTGCTGCTACTTGCTGCAGCTACTCCTACTTGCTGCAACTGCTCCTCCTTGCTGCTGCTACTTGCTGCAGCTACTCGCTCCTGCTGCTGCGCGCCGGCTGCTGCTGCTACGTGCTGCTGCTGCTCCACCACTGAGCACGAGACGTGCCGCTCATTCATAACAGCACCGCCCAGCCCGAACTGCAACTACTGCTGCTACAGCTAGTGCTACTGTTGCTACTGCAACTACTGCTGCTACAGCTAGTGCTAACCTGCTGCTGCTGCTCGAGTTACTGCTACTGCTACTGCCACTGCTACTGCCGCCATGGCTAGCCCTAGTGTTCTTACCTTCGATATTGAGGGCCGAGCAGTCGATTTCGAGGTCTGGGTCGATGACCTCCAGCTCTTTCTGCAGTGCGACTCTAGGGACGGAGTTTCACTGTTCGATCACACGTCTGGCGTCGCTGTTGCACCTGCTGCCGATGCTGACAGTGCCGTTCGCTTGCAGTGGACCACGCGCGATGCTGCTGCCCGCCTTGCTGTGCGTAGTCACCTGCCGTCTGCTGAGCGCGCGCACTTTAGCCAGAACAAGACTGCTCGGACTCTGTATGACGCTGATGTTGCGCGCTACTCCTCCCCTGCCACTGCTACCCGAGCTTAGCCGCCTCATGCTGCCGTACCTGTTCCCTAACTTAGCCGCTTTTGCCATAGTCGCTGACCTCATTACGCACCTCCGCACTAGTGACACCCGCTACCGCGCTGCGCTTCCTGCCGAGTTCTGCGCTGCGAACCCCCCCCCCCCATGTACATCACCCTCTACTACCTAGTCACCCGGCTCCCTGACTCCCTTCGCTCGGTCAGGGACCACTTCCTCTCCCTTTGCCCCACCACACTCACTGTTGACCTCCTTGAGGAGCGCCTCCTTGCAGCTGAGAAGAGCATAGTCGCTGTAGGAGCCTCTCGTGGTGACCCTCGTGCCCCTTTCTTTGAGGGGTGCTCCCCCGTCCCCCTTGCCTTTGCCCTCTGTTGCCTCTGCTGCTGCTGTCGACCTCGTTAGCACCGAGTCGGCCGGCGCTGCGTCTGCTCCTAGTGGGAGGCGCCGTAGCGGCAGGAGCAAGGGGGGAGAGGGTGCTGGAGGGGATGGCGGGGGCGGCGGTGGTGGCGGTGGAGGCGGCGGAGGGGGTGGGGGTGGAGGTGGGGGTGGTAGCGGGAGTGGGGGCTTCAGTGGCGGTGGTGTAGGTGGAGGCGGCGGAGGCAGCGACAGTGGGGGTGGAGGTGGCGGCGGCGGGGGCGGCGGTGGGGGTGGCGGCGGTGGCGGTGGTGCTGGTCGGGGTGGCGCTGTGCAGCGGGGAGGCGTTGGCGGTGGCCAGCGCCAGTAGCAGCAGCGCCCTCGTGAGACCCTCTCGCCCCAGCAGCTTCGTGAGTGGTACGCTGGGCGTGGGAGGTCTGGGGGTGCTGGTCCCTGCACTTACGTTCTCCGCACCGGCGACCGCAGTGGAGAGACGTGCGGCGGCCCGCACGCCACACAGCGCTGTTTCGGCCGTCTGACTGACGCCTGGCGTGCACAGTTTCCAGACGCCACTGAGCTCCCTCGCTGGGGTGATCTGCTTAGGTCGGGGGTTGCTATCTTTGATCTTGACTATGATGCTATCCTTGCTGCCATGTATGCTTTGACTATTAGTGCTGAGGGTGACTGTTACCTGTGTGTTCCGCCCGACCCGGGCATTGAGGCTGCTGCTCTAGGTGCTAGTGAGTCTGCTGCTCCAGGTGCTGGTGAGGCTGCTCTCTCAGGTACTGCGTCGGCTCAGGTCTTGCACACTTTCACCCTTGACTCGGGTGCTTCCCGCTCCTTCTTTCGCGACTGCACCACACTCTCGCCGCTCAGTCGGCCGGTGGCAGTCTCCCTGGCTGACCCCTCTGGGGGTCCGGTCCTTGCCCACTACTCCACGGTTCTGCCGTGTCCGGCAGTCCCGTCTGGCTCTTTGTCAGGCCTCCACCTCCCCTCGTTCTCTACGAACTTGGTGAGTGGAGCTGACCTTCAGGACGCATGGGTTGACCAGTTCACTCCTGGAGGTCAGCGGGTGACCCACTGTTCGTGTACACGGACGGGCCGTCACCTGGCCACGTTCACCCGTCAGCCTGGGTCGAGCCTGTACACCCTAACTACTGTGTCTCCTCCGGTTGCTGAGTCTGGTCAGGTTGCCGCGTCGGGTCAGGTGTTTGCTGCAGCGTCTCGGTCTGGTCCTGAGTCTGCCCCCTGCTCGTGTCGCCTCCTGTCTCACCAGACTCTCCTCTGGCACCACCGCCTTGGTCACCCCTCCCTGCCTCGTCTCCGAGGCATGGCAACAAGGGCCCTTGTCACTGGTCTTCCCCGGTCGCTCCCTCCCCTCCCCCCGGGGCCTGCCCCTACCTGCGTTCCTTGCGTCGAGGGGCGGCAGCGCGCCGCTCCTCACTCCTCCGAGTTTCCTCCGACAGAGGCTCCGCTGCAGACTCTTCACATGGACGTGTGGGGCCCAGCCCGCGTCCGTGGACAGGGTCACGAGCGCTACTTTCTGCTGGTTGTTGACGACTACTCGCGTTACACCACAGTCTTCCCCTTGCGCCGCAAGGGTGAGGTCACTGAGGTGCTGATCGACTGGATCCGTGCTGCTCGTCGTCAGCTCAGTGAGAGTTTCGGCTCGGACCTTCCTGTTCTGCGTCTGCACTCCGACAGAGGTGGAGAGCTTTCCTCCGACCTTCAGCGAGCCTTCTGTGCGGAGCACGGCATCCGCCAGTCATTCACGCTTCCGGCCTCTCCACAGCAAAATGGGATTGCTGAGCGCCGCATTGGCATGGTCATGGACGTCGCTCGTACGTCCATGATTCATGCGGCTGCTCCCCATTTTCTGTGGCCATTCGCGGTTCAGTACGCTGCGCATCAGCTCAACCTCCAGCCCCGAGTCTCCATGCCGGAGACCACACCTACTCTACGGTGGACGGAGAAGGTTGGCGATGTGTCTGCGTTCCGTGTCTTGGGATCTCGAGCTTTCGTCCGCGACTTGTCTGCGGACAAGCTGTCCTCCCGTGCTGTTCCCTGCGTCTTCCTTGGCTTCCCCCCTGACGCGCCTGGTTGGCAGTTTTACCACCCCACCTCGCGCCGTGTTCTGTCCTCTCAGGACGTCACGTTTGACGAGTCGGTTCCTTACTACCGTCTCTTCCCCTACCGTGCTGCCCCCCTACCCCCCCCGCCGCTCTTCCTTACGCCAGGTCCCCCCCCGGTAGACCCCCTCCCCCCTCAGGGTCCTGCCCCCTCAGGTGTGTCCCAGGTAGACGCAGTCGAGCCTGTCGAGGTAGCTGTTGACTGTGGTGCTGCTGGGGGTGCTGAGCCTGGGGGTGCCGGGTCTGGGGGTGCTGAGCCTGAGCGTGCGGAGCCTGGGGGTGCTGAGTCTGGGGTGCTGCGTCTGGGGGTGCTGAGTCTGTGGGTGCGGAGCCTGTGGGTGCTGAGCCTGCGCGTGTGGCGTCTGGAGGTGCTGGGCGTGGAGGTCCCTAGGGTGCTTCGTCCCGACGGGAGCCACTCTCTCCACAGCAACTGCGTGAGTGGTTTGCTAGGCGCTGGCGGCGTGCTGCTGGAGCTGGTGGTGCTACGGGCGCTGGCGGTCCTGCTGGGGGTTCTGGAGCCACTGGTCCCGGAGGTGCTCGTACTGGAGGTACTGGAGCTGCTGGGCCAGGTGGTGCTGCTGGAGGTGCTGCTGGTGCTGCTGGAGGTGCTGGAGCTGCTGGTGCTGCTGGAGCTGCTGGAGGTGCTGGAGCTACTGGAGGTGCTGGAGCTGGCGCTACTGAGGCTACTGGGGCTTCTGGTGGTCCTGCTGGAGCTCGAGCTGCTGTGGGTGCTGGAGTTGACGCTACTGGTGCTGCTGGCGTTGGAGCTGAAACTGGGGGTGCTGGTGCTGTCTCTGCTGGTTCTAGAGGCGCTGCGCGGCCGAGGCCATACTTCGTTCCGCTCCTTCAACACGTTCTTGGTCTCCCACCGTCTACTGGTCTTACTCCTTCCTCAGAGTGTCCTCCGCCTGTCCAGTCGCAGTCACAGTTACAGCCCGCATCCCCACTCCCTGCTCCTTCTCCTTACGCTGGTCCGACCGGAGGTCTTACAGAGCGACGTGAGCCTGAGTCTCGTCCTGCGTCGCCTGTTCGTGCTGCTCGCACTAGTGGTCGTGGTTCGCGTCAGCGTCCTCCTCCTGTCCCTGGCACGCACCAGATGGCTCTGCGTCCTTCCTCTGCTCCACAGCGTGTTCCTCTGCCGTCTCCTCCTGCGTCCTCTCTTCCTGCTCTTGCTGACCCGGAGTCTGACTCCCTTCGTGCTGCTAGTCCTACTGTCACGCGTCTCCTGGCCACTATTGTCACTGACCCTTCCTTTGAGTCCACTGCTGCGTCTGCCTTAGTTGCTGAGCTTGTCGACTTGCACACTGTCGTCTGGACTACGCCGCTAGCCTTGTTTCTGAGTCTGAGTCTGTCTGTCCTCCGTCCGTCGAGGGTGAGTGTGCTCTTAGCACGGACGTCCTTGAGGACAGGCAGGAGGAGTTCCAGTGCTTTGCTGCTGCTTTACCTCATCTCGTGTCCATGCTGCTTGCCCCTGAGGGAGACCCGGATGCACCTCATCTCCCGCGCTCTTACGCGGAGGCGATAGAGGGTCCCTACTCCTCTTAGTTGCAGACAGCCATGGACGCAGAGATGGCTTCCTGGAAGTCCACATGCACCTACGTCGATGAGGTTCCCCCACCTGGGGAGAACATTGTTGATGGCATGTGGATTTTCAGGGTGAAGCGGCCGCCGGGTTCTCCGCCTGTCTTCAAGGCGCGCTACGTGGCTCGAGGCTTCAGTCAGCGACAGGGAGTTGACTACTTTCAGACCTTCTCTCCCACCCCAAAGATGACCACTCTTCGGATACTGCTGCATGTCGCTGCTCAGCGTGACTACGAGCTTCACTCTCTTGACTTCAGCACAGCCTTCCTACAGGGCAGCCTGCACGAGGAGATCTGGCTGCGCTGCCCACCTGGCTTCACTGGGTCGTTCCCTCCTGGTACCCAGTGGAGCCTCCGGCGGCCAGTCTACGGTCTCCGCCAGGCGCCACGTGAGTGGCACGACACACTGAGGACGACGCTTGCGGCTCTTGGGTTTGCTCCTTCCACTGCTGACCCGTCGCTGTTTCTCCGCACCGACACTTCTCTGCCGCCGTTCTACATCCTCGTGTACGTCGACGACTTGGTCTTTGCTACTGCTAACACTGCTGGACTGGCCCACGTAAAGTCGGAGCTGCAGAAGAGACACACGTGCACAGACCTGGGTGAGCTGCGCAGCTATCTTGGCTTGCAGATCACCCGGGACAGAGCACGCCGCACCATTACCTTGACTCAGTCACACATGGTGCAGCAGGTCCTTCAGCGCTTCAACTTCACGTACTCCTCGCCTCAGGCCACTCCTCTGTCTACTCGCCACTCGCTCTCAGCTCTGCCTTCGGATGAGTCTGTAGAGCCGAGTGGCCCGTACCCAGAGCTTGTGGGTTGCCTCATGTACTTGATGACCTGCACTCGACCTGACCTGGCATACCCTCTTAGCATCTTGGCACGCTATGTTGCTCCTGGGAGACACCGACCAGAGCACATGGATGCAGCTAAGAGGGTGTTGCGCTACTTGTACAGTACGTCGGGCATGGGGCTCGTGCTTGGAGGACGGGCTCGAGTTGTCCTCACTGGTCACGCAGACGCTTCTTGGGTTGACGACTTGGCTACGCAGCGGTCGTCGCAGGGTTACACCTTCAGCCTTGGTTCTGGCTCTGTTTCGTGGCGGTCTACCCACTCGTCTTCTGTTCTCAGCTCCATTTGTGAGGCTGAGATCTACGCTGGGGCCATGGCTGCACAGGAGTTATGCTGGCTCACCTACCTGCTGACCGACTTGGGAGAGCCGCCTCGTTCTCCTCCAGTTCTGTACGTCGACAACAAGGCCATGCTGGCCTTGTGTCAGGAGCACAGACTGGAGCACAGAACGAAGCACATTGCTCTGCGCTACTTTCTTGCTCGAGAGTTGCAGCAGCGTGGTCAGCTTCGTCTTGCTTACGTGGCCACTCGGGCCAACACTGCTGATATCTTTACCAAGGCACTTCAGCCTTGTGATCATCAGCGTTTTTGTACTCTGTTAGGTCTTGTGCCTACCTGGCCTCACTTGCTCACCTCTTGACTTTGTTTTGTACTCTGATATATAAACCTGCATGTTTCTGGTTGCTAGGTTGTAATCATTGTACTACTTGCTCTATTATAAAACTGCATGTGAACTAGCCGTGTGGCCACCTGCTTGTGCTCAGATTGTGTGGTGTCCTTGAGATCCACCCTGGGCTTTGTCTTGTTTGTTCTCCTGCTTGACTGGTCTTGTGACCACTGTTAGGTTTGGCTATCCCCCCTACTTCACCTATGGGGGTGTGTCAAATTATATACTTCTAGTTATTTCTCTCTAGGTTGTGTAGGGGTCATTCCTTAGAGGGTACAACCCAATTCTCTCGATTGTCTTGTACCCCCTCCCCTCACCTAATCGACATACCTTCCTAGTTTTCTCAACAAGCAGTGTAGAAGTAACGAGACCGACGCGCGACGGGTCTAGCGACCTTGGGTGAAAGCGCGCGTGATGGCGAAAATTGCGACAAAAGCAGAATTGATCATAACTTCGCAGCAGTCGCGAAATCTTCCCCTGGCCCAAAAAATTCGAGCCCCCAACACCTTCGACGGGGAGATCGACGTGCGGAGATGGCTGGCGGAAATCAAAATTTATTTTGTAGCCGTCGGTTGGACATCCCCGACATACGACGGTTCGCGAATTAAATTTGCAGCAACACTACTGCGCGGACCAGCAATTAATTGGATAAGCGGAAGAGGATTATTAATTTAAGGCGAAGCAATGTGGCAGCAGTTCCATGAAGGATTACTACAATGTTTTGAGACGATAAATGCAGAGTTAATCGCCCGCGACAAAATTCATCATAATCGACAAATCGGGAGCGTCGCGAACTACACGCAACAAATGGAGGAGTTGTTCAACCGCATCCCCGACATCACGGAAGGCAAAACAAATAGAGCATTCATCGCGGGGATGAAAAACAAAGCAGAACAACACGTTGTTGCCGTAAATTGGAGCAGTTGCAACGACGTCGTCTCGGAAGCAAAGTGTTTCGACGTAATCACGACTGGAACACGACGACTTCATGGACGAGCTAGACGACATGGAGGACGCTTGGCTATCCCCACGTGCGCCGACACGATGGAACTTCATCAAATTGACGCGAAGGCAAGATCAAAGAAAAACAAATCTGCGTGTTCTTTCAGCGGCAAGCCAGGACATCGATTCATCGACTGTGACGAAATGAAAACTGCACGTTCAGCACTTCGGGACCGTAGCAGTGGAGCAAGTTCAACACGAAAAATGGAGGATCGTGGAGCAAATTCTACAGCCCACGAATAAACTGTGCCACGGAAAATTGCCGAGAAAAATAAAATCTTCGCGAAACAAGATACTGCTGGACCCGGACAACTCCAAAAAGGCCCCGTAAAAAGTGAGCACTCCTTCAAATTATCATACGAGGAAGCTTTACTTGGGAAGAACTCCACACGGTCTACGGCCTTGGTGAAATTTCGAGAGTATCTGTATGTCAACTACAGCAGCTGCGCATGAGGAACCAACAATGGAGCGTGGTAAACCAATGACGACATCGTCCTCTCTCAGAACAACCAGCCCACGTCAACCACGGAAGAAGTCGGTGGCGCTGAAGCAGCTCAAGAGGGAGCTGGAGGTCAACATGAAGCTGCGACGACCTCAAACCTCCTCTACAGATGCATCTGAAAAATCTACAGTATCCACCCCAACAGTGAATTCTACTACGGGTTTAAGAACCACGTCGTCGACGACAACAAAAAATCCTGGCAATAGGGAAAGGCAGGACCGGCCACCTTCCACCCCAGGAGAAAACACGGAGCTATGGGATGTGCCCTACGATCCAATCAACGAGACGATTATCGGTTACAGCGAGCAACGCCAGCCACTTCTGCTCAAGGTTATCTGCAACGGACCTCCAAGCACTCGTGGACAGCGGAGCATCCCATTCTGTATGCGACAAGGCAACCCTCAAACGTATCAACGAGGAGTATACGCCTTCAAGCTTCACAGCTACGATGGTTGACGACAGCAAGTTACAAGTCTACGGCGAAGCAGAGCTACACCTACAGATGGGTCCTCTTCACTGGAAACCGACCCTGCCCGTCACCAAAATCAAAGAACTAGACTTGATCCTTGGGAGAGACTTTTTGAAGAAGCTCAACCCCGAGATCAAGTGGGTCATCCATACGGCGAGCATCTACAATCAAGACAGAAGAGTTCCACTTTAATGTTGGAGCAACACGGGAGATATTCCGGAGGAGACTCTCGCACGCTTCGAGAAGGACGTGAAGCGAACCATGGCAAGGTTCGTCGCACTGGACGACATCTTGATCTACTCGAAGGACATGAAGCAGCATATCAAACACCTATGACACATTTTCAAGATATTTCTTGGACATATGGTGAGCGCTCAAGGAGTGCATGTTGACCCAAAGAAAATCAAAGCCGTACGTACGTAGAAGATGCCAGAGAACGTGAAGGAACTTCAACAATTCCTTGGCTTCACGGACTGTTACAATCGGTTCGTGCCAAAATATACGAAGATTACAACCCCTCTCACCAATCTACTGAAGAAGAATACACCTTCAAGTGGGAGGATGTGCACCAGCAAGCCATGGAGCAATTGAAAACAGCACTCTCGTCTGCACCCGTCCTGATTCTGCCAGATCCAGGTATAGACTACGTCATCAAAGCCGACGCTAGCGATCAAGCAGATGGAGCAGTCTTAATGCAAGACTAAGGGGAAGGGCTACAACCAATCGCTTACCTCAGCAAGAAATTGCACGGGGCAGAACTCAACTACCCGATTCACGACAAAGAGGCCTTAGCGATCATCACCGCATTCAAGACATGGCGATGCTACCTCAAAAGAAGGAAGATCATGGTCTACACCGACCACTGTAGTCTGAAGTACCGGAAGACGCAGCCTACTCTCTCCAGACGACAGGTCAGGTGGATCGACTTCCTCGAGACGCACTTCGACTACGACACCGTGTACAAGCTGGGACACAATAATAAGGCAGACACATTGAGCTGACTGAGACACGTTGCCGCCATGCACATTGAGAGGTCGCTACTCAAAAAACTCTTCACACACGGGTATACCATCGACCTCGAGATTTCCTTAGCCGAGAAGAAAAAATTGTTGCAGTGGGACCACGACATCGCACTACGCAAAGGATCAACAAAGATTTGGGAACCCAACTACCCGCCTCTTCAGCAGCTACTTCTGGAGGAGTTCCACGATGTGCTCTACGCTGGACACTTCGGGAGTAACAAGACTCTTGCCGAGATCGCGAAAGTCTACTACTAGCCTAACATGAAAGACGATGTGCAGAAGTTCGTCACTTCGTGCGACACATGCCAGCGGATGAAGAGCAGTAAGCAGAAGAAAGTAGGACTTCTTCAACCTCTACCCGTCCCGGAACTGCTCCAGGACCTGTGCCCTTTCGTAGTCCAGCTTTCGTTGTAGAGTGACTCTCTGCATGGTGCGGTGAGCGTGGATCGAACACGCGACCTTCAGATAGGAGCGACTTTTGCACCTACTAAGACGTTCGTAGGCTGATAGCCATCTTAGTCACCATGGTTGACCACGTAGTTGAAGCGGGCGTAGCGGAAACTTTGGAGGCTTGGTTGGTTGATGCGAAGAGACGCCAAGAGGCTGGCGAATTCGGGACAGTGCTCCCCTTGGAGGTCATCGAGCTGGGCATCCGCGCCAAGTAGGCGTTGGAACACCCCTCCCGACCTGCATCTCCTCGACTGGTGTGAAATGAAGGAGGAATCGATGAGGTGGTCGACGCTGGTGACGGAGTCGGCGGCAGCGAGGGCACGAAGAAGATAGGGGTGATCAAGTCTGTTGATGGTGGCGTCGACGGGATTCAGGCGCGAGTGCAGCGGTCGACAGAAAACACTTGTAGCTCGCGTGTCGACGTCCACGATCGACGTCGCTCTCCTCCGCGAAGCCATGGGAGGCCCTTGTCGATGACGTGTGTGACGACGGGAGGGATTGCACCGGCGTATGGGTACCTCAAGTTCTCGCCGGACAAAATCTCCGTGACCCTGCTGCTGCAAGGTCGACGGGATCTTATCACGTGAAGGGTGGCTATCGAGCCTCAACTGGAGATCGTAGGGCTGAAGGGTTTCGCCGACGACGCCGTGCCGATACCGGACAAGGATGAGGTCGAGCTGCGCAGGGAGTTTCGCTTGGCCCACTTGCTCACTTTCATGGTCATCTCGAGGTGCTGCTCGCTGGTGGTGTAGATAGCGTTGAAGCCTTGTCTAGAGCGGTTGGATGCTGGCCACAAGGCGTGGGGTTCATCCTGTCGACGTACCAGGTGACGGGCGACCTGTACGTCGGGCAGTTGGAGGAGCAGATGACACATCTCCGGATGGGCGAGCAGGAGTTGGCGACGGACTACTGCAACCGTGATCGACGGATCCTCGCCGAAATGCAGATGGCGGGCGTCACCTACTCGACGGCGTCCTACATCATGCACGTCGTGAAAGGCCTGCCAACTGGCTACAACCTCATGCGCCGGATGATGATGATGCCCGGCATGCGGGAGTCGCTCGACGAGGACACCCTCACTATCCACATCATCAAGGATGAGGCGATGCAGAAGGCAGAGAGGCCCACGGAGCTCCTTCCGCAGGCGAATTACGCAGCCCCGACAAAGCAGGGAGGTCGACAGGGGCAGCGCGGGAAGCCAGACGGAGGTGGTAGCGGAGGTGGGAAGTCGACGAAGGAGGTCGACAAGAAGAAGTTGACTCGGGGCAGCAGTCAAAATGGTGGTAGTCAATGGCGGGAGTGCTAGGTCTGCGGCGACCTCGACCACCTCTCTTTCGAATGTCCCGACCGCGACGAAAGTGACGAGCACGACAACAAAGGAGGCCGCAGAAGGTCGTCCAATTGTCGCCCACGTCGAAACAAGAAGCCGCGCAAGGAAAATCAGACGTCGAAGAAGACGTCGTCGACAAAGGACGTCGATAACTCCAGCGGCAAGGACCGAGGCGACGGGGAGGCATCACGCTCGATG